CTCCTATGGCTTCATTCTGGAATTGTCTTCTCACGAAAATTAACTTTCTCAGACACTATGGCTCGGAACTCAGGGTTGGACAATTGGGATCTGGAAATAGCAATGCAGGACCAAAAAGTATGGAAAGGGCTTGTCAATAGAGTTCCAACCAACCAACCACCCAACCATAAGGAGGTCGAAGGATGATGATAATGTATACTCCGAAAACAAGAGGATAAAGTGCTTTGAATACCTGGCAGCCTAGGTACGCTTGATTGTTTTTTATATGTCATGTCAGGTTCATGAAAGTGTTCATGTCCATTGAGGATGTATGCGTTCATGGCTCTCCACGAGTTCCTTTTCTTTATTATTTGCGAATTACAACGATAGGGCAGTGGTTTCTCAAAGAATCCTTCCTGTTTGAGATTCAGAGTAGTTCTTCTTTCGTACTATCTGCCAGTCAAGGCTTAGAGTGCCCACTCCACCTTGCTATTTAACCCATAGATAGTAGCCGGAAGTGAAGGTATGGATTCATACCTTTACCAATGGCATTAATGCGAACGTAAACGAAAAAGTTAAATTTTGAGCACTGATCTCCAATTCCATTTTCCGTCGTCATGCAGTCTGCAAATCAGTGTCGTTTCCATTCAGGACGTGGGTGATCAGGCTCTTCACAACTTCTTGTAGATCTAAGCATTTGTCCTTTAGAAGTATGTCAGGTAGGTAGTCCGTGGTACTCGGACATTTGGCCAACGGACATTTAACCGAATGGGCATTTAGCCGAAAATGTAGTGGCGTACTTACATGTATATCACACTCTTTATCGGATTATGCTACATATATTTATATTTATTTACTGTATAATTTTTCGTTTTTTGTTTTTGACAGGTTTTTTTCAAAATCGATTCTGTATATATTATATATTACTTGAAATATTACTGAAAGATGATAAGTATTTTGAGAAAAAGTACATTTTACTACAGCAAAAATCTTAAGCTTTTACGATATGAAAGATCTTTCAATTTCGCTTTTAATTGATCATTCTCTTAAAGGGATGAACTAGTTTTTATCTCAATGTTAAATACGAATTTAAAAAATTAGGTACTACTTTTTACCCAAATACACGTAGATATTTTTAAAATACTAATTTCATTAAACATATATTGAAATAAGAAAACTTTTTACTTTAAATTTAGGTTTAGTAATTTAATCGCTTGGAATTCAGTGGTAATTATTAGTCCTATTCTACCTTAAAATTACTCACAATCATCTCATTTTTGTATATTTTTATAAGAAATCGGACAGATTTTTATCTCATAGGGTTTTTGTAGGTCCCTCTGTGAAAATGCGGTATATTGGTGTTTGCCGGAGCGAGTGATGGAGAATAAATTCTTCTGTGAATGACTAAATTGTAATGAATAAATGGGTCGTGAGTGGATTTAACTAGGATTAAGAAAGCTTAAGACCAGCACTTCCTCCCCTCGGCCTTGTGCCACAATTTTGTAACTTTTACAAAATAAATATCCCATTCTACTTTATAATAGCGCTAATTAAAATACTTAAAATATTACTTGTTACTATTTTTACTTATACTTTTTCGGTGAAATATTTGTCGGCCAGATGTCCATCGTCCAAATGTCTCTCGGCCAAATTTCCGTCGGACAAATGTCCGTCGGCCAAATATCTGTCGGCTAAATGTCCGGCCACGGTAGTCCGTTGCTTTCCACTGTTTCTTTCGCCTTCGATATGCCTGGTGTGTGTTAAATTCTCCAAGCCCTCTTTCTTTATTATATATCCACGAAGTTTCTTATTCTGCGTCCTTTTTGTTTCCATTTTTAAGACTTTTTCGCTGCTTACGCTCTCCGCCCATGGAATTCTCACATCCTTAGTCAGGAATTGATTTGATAGACATTAAAAAAAATAAAGAGAACGATATCGGGCAATAAAAAGAGATAAAAATGGTAAATAACTGAATGAAAATCAATATGAAATATCAAATGAAATTTTCTCATCGTAGTTTTTACTTTCATACGACCGATAGATAAGAGACGCAAAATAGCCAAACGCTATACGACAGTTGGGCGAAGATTGCTATTTGTAGCTGCAATAAAGGGAAGTTTAAGTGCAAGTCCGCCTTTTGTAGGCATGCCATAAAATCGGCTGTGTTAAAATTAGCTTCGCTAAATCAATACCACTACTATATATATATATATATATATATATATATATATATATATATATATATATATATATATATGTGTGTGTGTGTGTGTGTGTATAAACTGCGTGTAACATCATAATTGTGCAGCTAACATAATATTTAATATCTAAAAAACATTAAAATAAACAGGTCATCGGATAAGGCGTTTATCACTGAAAAAAACCTTTTGAGTTATTCAGCTAGAAAGAGAACAGGTTAAAATCGTTTTGTGTTAGTCCCACTATGTCTTCTCCAACTGAGCAATGGTGAGAAGAAAAAGATCATTCAGGCCTTCAGTAATGGTACCAGCATTCATACTCCGGAGTCCATTCAAGAACCATCAACAGAACGTTAAATAAGTTAAAAAAAAAAAGGGAACAGTAGTGAGGAAAACTGAATCAGGCGGTCACAACAGGAAAAGGGATGCTCATTTCAAGTTAGACCCAAAGAGATCAATTAGAAAAGATCCAACTCAATCCATAAGACGTTTGGCACGTGAGAGAGGAGTTTCAGCTATGACAGCCCAAAGAGCAGTGAAAAAAGACTTGGAAATAAAATCGTACGTGAAATGTGTAAGGCAACTTTTACCCCAGGACAGAAAGTTAGAAGGTTAGATAGGGCGAAGATCATCTTGAATAAGTTGGAAAATGATCCTGAAATACTATATATATATATATATATATATATATTCGAACTTTATTTCAATACTTCATGAGCTTTAAATCCTTAGCTATGATTAATTAATAATGAACATGTCATTTTTGTTTACGATCGAATTCATCACGATTCTTCTGTTAATCTTGGAAAGTAATTATACATTCTTACTGCGCAAAGTGGAGTCCAATAGTGTTATAAAAACCTTTAAATATTCCAGTAAGATATCTTTAATCATTTCTAAGATACAATGGTTCAGAACTTAATCTAACAATTAAAAAATTTTTGCTACACGATTTGGACAATTTCTGCTGTTACGCCTAGTATATATATATATATATATATATATATATATATATATATATATATATATATATATATATATATATATATATTGAACAATAAAATTATTAAAAAATTAAAAATTAAAATTTTCAGACACACTGGGTTGTATATTAATATTTTTTTGTTTTATTATTTCAATTAGGTTCTTCGACTAGTTTCGACCAGCATAGGCGTTATCAGGAAAAATAAAATTCTTGCTTGTTAGTAGCAGTGAACTACAGGAACGAATGACTTTCTGAAGAAAATGAACTTTATCTGTAGTTTTTATTTGTTTTCTCATCGTTAATTTGGTCAGTCCTTGTGTTGGCCTCTTTTAAGTTGTTTTTAAGATAAAGGCTGTGGAGATTCATGTAAGTCAGAATTCCTTCGGTCATTTTGACAGTTTTATTGGTTGCTGGGAAGGGGATGTGTGTGTATGTTATCTTTAATTCTTTGGGAGCGTGTATGACGTGTATAAATGTATATATTAGTATGGATGTGTGTATAAGTGTGAAACCTCAACACCTCTGCAAACATGTCTGTCTTGCGTGGGTGAGAAATGTGGGTAGGGCTTGATTTATGTGGTTATTTATTAACTCTATCTATGTTGTTAAATTTGTGATTAAGCCCGTCTGGATGGAATGTTTTGGGGCGAAAAATTAATTTGTCTTCCTGTTCTTCTAGTATTTATCTAATGTTATCTTTTCTATCTTTTTCTATTTTGTCAAATATAGTGAATTTGGCATTGCTTTTAAAATCATGTTTTTTTCTAGGTGGAAATGTTGTTCTACAGGTAATAATCTTTCGTGGGGAGCCGGTTTAATTCGATTACGATAGTTATTAATTCTGCAGTGTAATGGCCATTCAGATTCTCCCACGTATTGTTTCTGACATAGTGTACTTTCTAAGAAGGAAATTATGTTATGACTTCTACATTTAGAGCCGTAGTAAATTTTGAAAGTAGATTTGGTGTCTGAGATAGTGAACGAATTGGTGTGTCTAATGTGGTTAAAGCATAAGCTCCTTTTGTCGTTATATGGTTGGAAAATCCTGTTGTTTTTATTTTTGGTCTATTACGGAATAACTTATCCTCTGACATATGGTTACTAAGTATATATATATATATATATATATATATATATATATATATATATATATATATCGTATGGATATGAGTTTGTGACCCTGGGTTATTTTATATATATATATATATATATATATATATATATATATATATATATATAAAGAAATATAGTCTTAAGGTATGCTATATTTATGGAATAAAGTGCTCAATATCAGAGATAGAGCGTGTAAATATATAAATACATAAAAAGTGAACATAGAAGTCAACACTTAGAGGCAACAGTCTGTTTCATGCTATACGCAATCGTCAGCCTGACGATTGCATATAGCATGAAACAGACTGTCGCCTCTAAGTGTTGACTTATGTTCACTTTTATATATATATATATATATATATAATGCTATCTAGAAGGACAGATACTAATACAGATTATTGCTGATATCTTTGCGACCTATACTCTTTGTGAGATGAATGTACTGATGCCCATGAAAACATTTTGAAGAAAACGTTACGAATGATGTTTGCAGTGCTCCCTAAACCTTTTCGTATCACATCAGTGAGAATTTTATTCAATGTCTTAAAGCAGAAAATGTAGAATTACTAATCTCTCTCATCGACGTAAAACATTGATGTGGAAGATTAGTAAACATTTCAAACAAAAACCTTGTAGTTTATACTGCAGCTATGCTAAGCTGATCTTATATTTTCTAGAAATATAATTTGGTGAGATGATTAGTTGAATAAAAGAGAACGCGTAATCTAGCGACGGAATGTGTTGAACAAAAGAGAACACATAATCTGTCGAGTGGATGTGTTGAACAAAAGAGAACACATAATCTGTCGAGGGGATGTGTTGAACAAAAGAGAACACATAATCTGTCGAGGGGATGTGTTGAACAAAGAGAACACATAATCTGTCGAGGGGATGTGTTGAACAAAAGAGAACACATAATCTAGCAAGGGGATGTGTTGAACAAAAGAGAACACATAATCTGTCGAGGGGATGTGTTGAACAAAAGAGAACACATAATCTGTCGAGGGGATGTGTTGAACAAAAGAGAACACATAATCTGTCGAGGGGATGTGTTGAACAAAAGAGAACACATAATCTGTCGAGGGGATGTGTTGAACAAAAGAGAACACATAATCTAGCAAGGGGATGTGTTGAACAAAAGAGAACACATAATCTGTCGAGGGGATGTGTTGAACCAAAGAAAACACATAATCTGTCGAGGGGATGTGTTGAACAAAAGAGAACACATAATCTGTCGAGGGGATGTGTTGAACAAAAGAGAACACATAATCTGTCGAGGGGATGTGTTGAACAAAAGAGAACACATAATCTGTCGAGGGATGTGTTGAACAAAAGAGAACACATAATCTAGCAAGGGATGTGTTGAACAAAAGAGAACACATAATCTGTCGAGGGGATGTGTTGAACAAAAGAGAACACATAATCTGTCGAGGGATGTGTTGAACAAAAAGAGAACACATAATCTGTCGAGGGATGTGTTGAACAAAAGAGAACACATAATCTGTCGAGGGGATGTGTTGAACAAAAAAGAACACATAATCTGTCGAGGGATGTGTTGAACAAAAGAGAACACATAATCTGTCGAGGGGATGTGTTGAACAAAAGAGAACACATAATCTGTCGAGGGGATGTGTTGAACAAAAAAGAAACACATAATCTAGCAAGGGATGTGTTGAACAAAAGAGAACACATAATCTGTCGAGGGGATGTGTCAACCAAAAAAACACATAATCTGTCGAGGGGATGTGTTGAACAAAAGAGAACACATAATCTGTCGAGGGGATGTGTTGAACAAAAGAGAACACATAATCTGTCGAGGGGATGTGTTGAACAAAAGAGAACACATAATCTGTCGAGGGGATCTGCTGAACAAAAGAGAACACATAATCTGTCGAGGGGATGTGTTGAACAAAAGAGAACACATAATCTGTCGAGGGATGTGTTGAACAAAAAGAGAACACATAATCTAGCAAGGGATGTGTTGAACAAAAGAGAACACATAATCTGTCGAGGGATGTGTTGAACAAAAGAGAACACATAATCTGTCGAGGGGATGTGTTGAACAAAAGAGAACACATAATCTGTCGAGGGGATGTGTTGAACAAAAGAGAACACATAATCTGTCGAGGGGATGTGTTGAACAAAAGAGAACACATAATCTGTCGAGGGGATGTGTTGAACAAAAGAGAACACATAATCTGTCGAGGGGATGTGTTGAACAAAAGAGAACACATAATCTAGCAAGGGGATGTGTTGAACAAAAGAGAACACATAATCTGTCGAGGGGATGTGTTGAACAAAAGAGAAACATATAATCTGTCGAGGGGATGTGTTGAACAAAAGAGAACCCATAATCTGTCGAGGGGATGTGTTGAACAAAAGAGAACACATAATCTGTCGAGGGGATGTGTTGAACAAAAGAGAACGCATATAATAGCGAGATCGATAGTTTAACTCAGTTATGATGATACAACCACCGACGGCTTCACAATGTCACTCACGGTTTGAATCATGTATTGGTATGTTTTTTCAGACACTTCCCAATGGTGTCGGATCATGGGATCGTCCACCCAGGCTGATATTATCAAGACGTCCCCGCCTTGACAAATTGATTATAATTGAGATTCGAACCTGGGTTACATGCCAGAATACCAACCTCTCAGCCACATCAGATTAAACAGACATTGCACGCCAGACATTTTCGAGCCATTTTCTCTCTCTGTTTTTTTTGTATTTACTTTTCCAATGGTTTATTATTTCATTTTCTTACTTTCTCTGTGAACATAATTTGATGCAAACCTGGCGTCGACAGTGCAGCCATTTTAGTAATTTGACAATAACAGGATAAAATTTTGGGAGATTCGAGCTGGCATCATGTTTAGGGAACTAGTCTATTTCACCATTATTACTGCGTAGTAAATTCGATACTCACTGGGTGCTCCATATTTTTTTTGCGATAGACATCTACGATGTGTAATTTTTCGTCATTTGCATTCAACGCCTCGCATCTCCGTCATTCAAAGTGAATGGTTTCGCAGCTCTTTTCGGGACCGTTCTGCGTACTTGGATGGTCGTAAGGTGACACTTGACAAAACTTTCGAATATCTCGCGGGCATGGTTTGTGTTAGGGTAGATAAATATATTTTCATGGTACAATTTCTTTTGCGTAACGGCATCTCTTTATATATTTAGTCCTAGAAGGATTTCCCTGTGCGTTTGTCACTCTTGTGATATTTCCCTGTCTACTCAAACAACACCTACTTCGTTAAAAGCATGTAGTATCAAGTGTACTACCCACAGTCCGAGGGATACGGGATTTTTTTTTTCTGCAAGTCCCATAAAATTCACATTAACTCGTATTTTTCTGTTTCTAATCTAAATATATTGCAAGAGTATCGGCCAATGTTGCTTGCCAGTTTTTGTGTCAGAAGGTTTTTGGCTTTTGCACGTGTTACTCTTTCTTCGCTTATTCACCGTCATCGGATTTCAGAGGAGACATGAAGTCGTAAGAAACAAGACTAACTCCACCCTTTCTTATTGTTTGTCTTCGCCTGCTTTTTTTTTTCTGTTTTACTATTTTGTTCTTATTTTTTAAAGCTTCTGGGAACTCGTTTCTTCATCGGGTGCCCTCTGCTCCAGACTTTATTATCTTTATGAATTAATATCAATAGTGTGAATTTGTGCCTTTCTTCTCTCTCACACTAGAAAGCAAAAAGTAAATCCTGCCCTGATTTCGACGTCCGACCAAGAGGTAAGCAAACAAGCGACATATCTACATCTACGGCGTTCTGTTACTTGAGCGACAAACAGTAAAATTAACTTTCAAAATTAATCAGAAATCACAGGTAAGATATTTTGGCACCAGACAGGGGTTTGGTACCTTTCGGCGTAGCCGATTCGGCGTGGCCAATTCGGGGTCAGGAAAATAATTGGACTATTCGGCACATCCGTTTAGGTGTCAAACTGTTTCGACGTCACTGTCTTTGACCGGAGTTAATCCCCACTCCAAAGAAAGAATAAAAGCATTGAAAACACCTAACTTTCAATATGACTATTTTATTCATTTAGGGAATTAAGGATCTTATTAAAACTCTAATGGAATAATATAAATTAAAAACTTCATATATAATCTCACTTTACATCGATCTTTCTATTCATTTTGACAAAACTTTAAGGATCCCTGTTGCTCGTTGTGTTAACAATAAAAAGTTATCCATCGTGTATCACTTTGTTTCTTCCATGTTTTGATAAAATAATTGCTTCCATTTTGGAATAAAACGAATGTCTGTTGTTGATTATATTTTTACTTACTTTTTCAATTTTTTTTTTTAATAATCTTTTGAATTTTCGTTTGGTATTGTTAAATAAAACTTCCAATATCTAAGTACTTTCGGCCAACGCTAGCCACTTTCAAAGGCATCTGTTGTTTGTTACGTCGATATGTATTATACACACACGCGCGCGCGCACACACACACACACACACACACACACACACACACACACACACACACACACACACACACACATATATATATATATATATATATACATAAAGAAATATAGTCTTATGGTGTGCTATATTTATAAAGTGCTCAATATCGTACGTAAATATAAATATAAAAGTGAACATTGAAGTCAACACTCAGAGGCAACTGGCTGTTTCATGCTAGATGCAATCGGCAGCCTGACGATTACGTCGAGCATGAAACAGCCTGTCGCCTCTGAGGGTTGACTTCAATGTTCACTTACACACACACACACACACACACACACACACACACACACATATATATATATATATATATATTTGGGTTGGTGCTGAAAAGTACTCAGCTTTGCCCAATGCACAAAATCAGTATTTCAATGAGTAAACAGAAAAATGTTTTTCTAAGAAAACCTTTCACCACCCCGCCTCGTTGTGAATATAACACTACTGAAATTTGGTTTCTTACACTCCCAGATACAAGCATCGTAATCCATTGCCAATGATTGTCCATATTTAAGATATGCTTCATGGCCTTTGGTCATGGGTTAAATTCACGATTTCGCGAATTTCATTCACGTTATACTACGTGTTAATTTTTGTTTCTTGACAAAATTTACGCCATTACGAAGATTGTACATGGAACTCGAAGAGAAACTAATGACATAATAAAGATGTTGATATTCCGCACTACTTCAAATAAAAAGTTAGGAAGGAAACTCCCATCAAATCGGAAGAAGAAACTAGTTTGAAGAAACTTGTTTTTTCCGAAAAATCTTTTTAGGAGAAAGATTTTATAAACGCTGGCTTCTCGGTCTATGCAGGCCGAATGTTTTCTTATAAGGAAACGGATATTATTATTATTATTATTATTATTGTTGTTGTTGCTGTTGTTGTTGTTGTTATTACATATAAAGAAAACAGATACTACATATTGATCATATCTCGATGGCTAGGGAATGAAGAAAAGCGTAACTCGAGAATCACTGTCTGCTCTGTCAATGAATAGCAAATGTTTCCTTATAAGGAAACGGCTAATATTACTATTAGAGATGAGGAAAACAGATACTACATATTGATCCAATCCCGATGGCTAGGGAGTGAAGAGTAGCATAACTCGAAAATCACTGACTGCTCAGTCAATAAATACCAAATGTTTCCTTATAAGGAAACGGCTAATATTACTATTGGCATTACTCCAATCTTTCACGAGCGGACAGCCAGACTTTAATACAAGACTATTTTTACGTTGAGCATTAAAAAGCTTGCATCACGCAAATCTTTTCTGCTGACATCAGGAGGTTTTCTTCATCCTTCAAGAACGATGAAAAGGTACTGCCTTACCATAGAGCTTCAGAGCCTAGCTGAATCATACTTATCCGATTTTATTCGAGAATAGGGAATAGAATTTCCAGTTCGCCTAAATGAATGCGCGAATATTTTTTGGTACTTTAAAAATTAAAGATTAACATTTTTTCCTTGAATTTTTAAAATCTATTTTGTCGTTTTCAACTCGATTTGCATTTTCCGAATTCTTTGAGTTACGGTTTTCTCCTTAGCGTTTTTTAATGTTCCCCAACTCAGATTTGTCTTGTATTAGTTTTGACGCATGTATCCAATTCCTCCTTATTTTTCATTGACGTCCATTCCTCTTTTTACCAAAATTTCCGCAGAGATAACATAAGCTCGCAGGCATCAATAACATATAATTTTTCAAGCAATCTCCCCATTGCGAGATTACAGCACCTTTTATTACACACACTGATGTGGTTAAATGTAACAAAAGTCGATTCTGACTACCTTCTGCAGTAATTTATTTATTTTCCTGCTATTTATTTTATCTGCTTCGTTAGTGTGAAACCCTGAAGCCACGCTAAGAGATTGTGAAATTCGTATTTTGATCTTCAAAGCTTTCGACAAGTGAACCACGAAATTCAGAGTGATGTTAAAATCCGTTATGAAAAGGGAAGCTTAGCTGAATAAGTGGCTGACATGAAAAGTTTAAAGGCTAGCGATTTTGTTTGCTTTAAGAAGTCAAAACTGTCGCGTCGATGAGGCAGCTTCAGTTGGAAAGAACTGCTTGGCAATCGGAAGCTTTTTTACCTTCAGGATATGCAAAACGATTGCACTGATTTTCCTGCTGAGGTCAGTGCAATTTTCTTTTTTTCTTCTTTTTATTATAAAAGATCAGCAAAAAGAAAATAGATATAAATAAATACATTCTTAAAAGGCTATCATTGGTTCGTGTATTGAATAAGTCTGTCATATATGGTCTGGTGCTTTTGAAATCTTGAATATTGAATAATTCTGTCACATATGGTCTGGTGCTTCTGAAATCTTGAATATTGAATAATTCTGTCGCATATGGTCTGGTGCTTCTGAAATCTTGAATAGTGAATAATTCTGTCGCATATGGTCTGGTGCTTCTGAAATCTTGAATATTGAATAATTCTGTCGCATATGGTCTGGTGCTTCTGAAATCTTGAATATTGAATAATTCTGTCGCATATGGTCTGGTGCTTCTGAAATCTTGAATATTGAATAATTCTGTCGCATATGGTCTGGTGCTTCTGAAATCTTGAATATTGAATAATTCTATCGCATATGGTCTGGTGCTTCTGAAATCTTGAATATTGAATAATTCTGTCGCATATGGTCTGGTGCTTCTGAAATCTTGAATATTGAATAATTCTGTCGCATATGGTCTGGT